CAATTTTAAGAAAAATTACTTACCTTTTTGTAACAAAATAAAAACCAAATTCGGAAATAACCTAACAAAACTGGTACCAAAGCTTTAACAATATACTATCAAAGGAAGCATCAAAAAGACCAATGCACTGTACACTGCTTAAATAGAGTTCTTTTATTTCTTTAATTAAAGCAATAATAATAATTAAATTATGATAAAACTGTGCCATTTGTTTAAATAGGTATGACATGACAATGACAAAATGACAATATTGACAATTAATATCATCAATCATGACATGTCATATCAAATCATTATTTTGTCTTTGAAAAGACAAAAGAGACACTGAATTTTATTCTGTGGAAAAGATTATCTAGATTCATCTTGTCGATAAAAATCATATTTTTACCTATTAGAATTAGTAAACATATATATTATTATCTTGATAACTAGAATAATAAAACAATTCTAACGAATTATCTAGAAATAAAAGATTTTTACACTTTACCTAAAAATAAAAACATGTTTTGGATATATTAAACTATACAATTTTTAATTAATTGTGATTTAACCTTTTCGCTTTTAATTATTTTATTAACGTAAATAATTTTTTATTTTATTGAAATATTTGCTATTTGATCCTATAATTGGTAAATGTCGGATGTCCAGAAAACGTCCGAGTTCGGACGTCCAGGGAACGTCCGAGTATGGTCGTCCAGAGAACGTCCATGTTTAGTCCACCCAAAGTACGTCCCACTTCGTACGTCTATAGTACGTCCATTTTACGTCCAGGGACGTCCGGACCAAAACTGGACGTATATTGGACGTCCATAGGACGTCGTGTGTTACTAGGGAATTTTTTTACATTAATCTCTAACAAGGGTTGCTTTTTAAGGGTTGAAATATGATGGAACTCTATTCAAAAGTATAAAATAATCATTATTTAACTAATTCAAACCAAATCTTACCCATATTCAGGTTTAATATGTTATTTTATAATTTTTGACAATTAGGAGTAGTTTTCACCCCTAAAACCCTTCAGCGCACTTGGGTTCGATATAGATTTTGATCCTTGGGCTATCACCTACCTTCTGTTAAAATTTCAACTGGATACATGCAGGACGAAAAAATTGCGAGGTTTTAACTATTTTCGAGCTTCATTTCCTGACCTATTATCGTTTCCTTAGACAAACCCGTCTTACGCAAACAACATTGTTGTGAGACAGATAGTTGAACGATATTTTATACAATGTCTATACCCAGGTATGGATTTATTTTTGTCCGAGTTTTATATTGGTCCACTATTTCAAATGCAGTTCAAACAGACATGTATTAAATTGTATGTTCCATTTTAATTTGGTTCAATCTATATATATGTCTCCACGTTCATGATACTATGAATAACAAGATAGGATCTTCCCGTAGCTCAAAATCGGTCGGGTTCGCGCATGCCGTCATTGGAGACTAGAATTTGAATTCTTGTTAAAGTTAAATGAGATTTGTATGCATTCTGTGATGAAATTACTAGACGAAAATAAGTTAGGAGGTTTAACAATTACAATAATCGTACACATAAGGATATCTCCAAACTATTTATTAAAGATTATTTATTGATATATACAAAAACTGACATTTCTAACCTGCAAGTCTCCAATGACGTCACAAAAACATGCGCAATATCTTATCTTATAGTCATAAACTCGGTTCGCTAATGCTAGTCCGAACTGTCTAGTGATTTTAGTAATTATGTTTTTACGAAGTTAGTTACTTTTTGACAGACTAGAAGTAGCTGGAAATTATTATACAACCAAGTACACGTGCTCATAGCGCATTTCATTAGAGTATTTCGTCGACCTCTTTTGCAAACTTATACTATGAATTAGAAATTTATAGCATGTATATAGAATGCAAGTTTCTATTATATATAAAAAATATGTTTTATAAAAAAAGTTACGGTAATTTAGTTTATATCGTTAGGTTGCGCCAAATGTAGGCAACCAACTTCAACTTTTTGTTAGCATTTAGCTGGAGTTTCTTGAGAATATATTTAATATTTTCCAATTAATTTATTATTTTTTTTTAAGTGATGATAATAATGCTGAATAAGCAATATTTCAAATCATATCTAATCACAGGACGTACTTAATATTGTGTTATAAAGTAGGTTAGATAAAAAATATCATAATATTCATATTATAATTCAAAAATATCATTCATCAAAAATATAATTAAAACAAATCATAATCTTCTATTATTAGAAACTAGTTTTGGACGGCCCCGGATTTTACCTTTTTTATCTAACGTACTTTATTATGAGGATTTTACAATAACACAATATTAAGTACGTTTTGTGAATAAATATCATTTGAAATATTGATTATTCAGCATTATTATCATCAGTTTTAAAAAATAATAAATTAACTGGAAAATAATAAACGTTTATTAAAAATATTCTCAAGAAATTCCAGCTAAATCCTAACAAAAAGTTTAAGTTGGTTGCCTACATTTGGAGCAACTTAACCATATAAACTAAATTACTGTAACTTTTATCACAGCTTTTATTTAATTTTTGACGTCATGTCAAACTGAACTGGATGTTAACTAAAATGTTTTTGTTATTAAGAACATATTTACATAATTTTATAAATATATTTTAATGATCCAACTACGCAGAATGGGCAAATAATTAAACAAAAATGGTTGGTGTTTTGAATAAATCTTTGTACAGTTTGATTACCTCGTAATTTAACAGCATCCTTACTCATCTAAAAATATTAACTTTTAAAGAACATTTATCATATTTATATTTATTCAAGAAAACTGACTATTTCTAATAATAAAATTCAAAATAGAACTAACTAATTAACTAAATAGAACTAACAAAGAATTAAACAAAAATAATGGAACAATAAAACTATATTAGCTAAAATAAACAACGCGAATAATACAAATATTTACTACAATATGTTCAATTGTAACAACTCAAATATTATATTTTAAATATACAGGGAAAATGTTATGGGTTTAGTATACACTTCCACTATTTGGAATAATTCTTCTTTTTTTATGGCTAAGCCACTATTCCACTATGGCTAAGCCAATGGAGAATAGTATCATCATAGACCAAAACCAAATGCTAATAAAAGTTTCAAAAACTTAGGTTTTGCAATATATTTTGGGTTTTTCTTGGGTATAGCGATGTTCAGTGATTCTTATATTAGTAATTATATCATTTTTTTTTTAATAAATAGTCTGATGACAAAAAATAGAATTGATTATATTGATAATATTGTGTGTTTTAAATGGAGATAACAGTTTATTTCGCACAAAAATAAAAAAAAAACAGTAGAAAAAGTTCAAAAGCAAAAATACTAAATATGTAGGAACTTACTTATTATGTTTTTCCTGAAATTTGTAGCATTCTTATCATATCTAGTGGTAGGCAAAAAAAAAACAAATAGGTAATATAAATAATTTATTATTAGATTAAAATACAAAAAATGATTAGTCCTTCAAGCACAAATCTTCAGGCTATAGGATTGTTAGTTCATGACCGTGATTATAACGTACAAAACTACATATAATTGTTAGACAAAAATTGATATCACAGCTACGACAACACACTTCACAAGTGTTTATGTACACAAATAACTAAATAATAAGTCTCTATAATTAATATTGTCCTTATACCTATACTTAAAAATAAAAACTAAACAAATAAACGAACTAATTACTATAGGAAAATTCCACAAAAAAATATACGAATACAAACATGAACTTAAACTCCGACGTGCAAAAACTGATTTTGACAGTGATAACTGTCAAAATTGACGTTGTCGTATGAGTGACGTAAGCATTCTGCCTTCCCCTCGCTTCGCCAACATAGTTACGAGACAACCTTCTTAAATATCTAGTAACCTTGGAGGCAACTTACTTAAATACAAGGTTGAAGGTATGTTTATCAGAACAGCGGCGTGCTCATTTATATGTTAATGACAATAATTATTTTTTAATTAAAATTAAATATTTATGATTTCTTTTTGTTCCCGTTTATAAGAGAAATAATTATTTTGATAAAATAGTATGGCATTGTACTAAAATAGTAAGTAAATAACTCTCAACAATTTAAAATAAAATTTGCTTGTCACACAAAATGGAGAAAATGTTTTCATACGGCTATGATGTTTTCAAACACAAGATCAACTTCGTGATGCTTCGTAAGAAATCATGAACTTCGTGCATCTTCGTATCAAAACAATAACAAAGGTATTCATGTTTTGGACACTTTTTAAAGCGTTTACCGAGTCTATATATTATACGTCATTGCTTAAATATCTACTATTGGTTCATTACAGTAATGGAACAACGTTGCCATATGATGCATCGTTAAAATATGATACATATAATCATCGAGCAATAAGACAAAAGAGGGAATCTAATCGTTATGAAAAGGAGACCAAAAAAGTGGCCTCTGATGGCGGACATATCCGGAAATGCAAATGCGCCAAATTTAAATTTCATGACACTTGATAATAATCATACAGTGGTGTAGGGGTTCTAATTTATCTATTTATTTATTTTATATTACATAATATTAATATTACTTAATATTAATACATAATACACTTAAAATACTTTTTTTAACACTAGAACACAATAAAGTTTAAATTAATTAATAACGATAATAGTCTAAAATGATAAAATATTGTTAAAAAACTTCAATAGAAAATATAAATAAGCTTTCATGTGACAGTTTTGACAAACAATAACATCAAGAATAACATAACCCAACTAAATTTTATTTCTTAAACAAGGAAAGAGATTCTCTTTCCTTGTTTAAAGTGGCCTCTCAAAATAGCACTTCCTGTCTATGAATATGTTTGCCCCCACTACCTTTACATTCCCTCTTTTGTCTTATTGCTCGATGCATATTATAATACAAGTCCCCCGGCTTTGTCTCGCTATGACGACATGCGCAAACTCAATTACAACAGCAAGTGAGCATATGTTGTTATTTATATTATAGTATCATTCATGGTCAAAACTCAAAAGTTAAATGCAATATACTTAATCTATGGTTAAATGTGAAAAAAGGGATAGAACAACTGCATAATGATAATGTTTTCTATGTGGAAATTCGTTAGATATCCACCCCATAGACAATGTAAACGCACATTTCATATATCTCATACATTAAATGCTTTTTGGGAACGAGATGATAAGGGTGGTTATAGAAACAAAGATAACATGCCTCCTTTAAAAGATCGTCTAAGGGAAGGCTTACATGAATTAAAGTATGAAATTAAGCTTTGGACCCAAGAAGTTAAAGAGAGATTTGAAGATGATCCTATCCTCATATTCAGACCAGGTGAATCGATTTTCAAATATGGTTTAATGAAAGTATAACGTTTTTCTTTTAATAAAATCATTACCACATAGTACTTAGTATTTATTTAAAAATATTTTTTAAAAAGAAATCTGTAGGGACTTGTAGCACTAATTTTTATAGAGGGTAGTAGTTTATACACCAGAAAGCATGAATGCCTGTCTTATCTTCCTGTAAAAGTCTGATTTCTTCATTCACACACATATAATTAGAGAGAAAACATTGGGAGTCATGATTTTTGGTGCACTATAAGCTGCCCCATATAAAATGAATTACAGTCATTTGTATTTTCAAATAATACTTTGTTTTTAGGGGAAGTCGACATTAAATGGAGGTTTGGAAATGAACAATCACTGAAAAACTGGAATATAACAAGTGATAGTGATAATAGGGAAGGATATAGCAAAGCTTCACTTACTCTTACAGAGCATGGTAAAGCATTATTTTATGGAAATCTCTCTATGAGAGTTCCACAAGATGGTAGAGTTAAACGTTCAGGGTATTGCAGTATGAAGACTCATAGAACAAGGGTAAATACAAGTGTGTTTTGAACTTTGAGACAATGGTTAGTTTGGAGCAATGAATATGACCTATAAGTAATGTATTTGACACTTCATGTAAGCTTAACATATTGACAGTGTTACCATAAAAATGATACATATAAAATCATTAAAATTATACAAATATTAATAGTTTCGAAATACCAAAAAAGTAAACAGTTTTAAAAAGTCATATGAAAGCTCAAAAGAGGATACATTTTAATGGTTTTTAAATAAGTTTCATAAAATTTTTAAAAAATGATGATAAACTATTATTATTTGTTATTATCTATATGTAGGTATTTATTTATTAAACAGAAAATACCATAGATAATGAAAAAGATTTTTTAACTATCCTTTTGATCACGTGGCAGCTGATCGTAATATGAATGACAATCATGCTTTTTAATTTTGTTAATGTGTTTAAAATTAATTTTAATTTTTGAAGGTTGTTTCTTTTGGAATAGGTCAACTTTCTCTTCTCTTGGTTTAAACAGGGAGCATTCGCGGATGAATTATCATGAATAATTTTTTTGGTCTTCTTGGCAAAGCTGAATAGTCAAAATAATCATCAAAATTCGATTTTACAGTTACAATTTTACATTTCTCTGTTACTATATGTTATGGCCTTAATATCCACTACAGTTGGATCACCAGCTGATCTACCTGGTCTTATGGCATCATAAATAAAAAAAAAATTCTGAGAATAATCTTTAAAACCTTTTCACTGCGGCTAGTTATTAAAGTAGTATGGTTTCTAGTACAACTGTTTCATGCCTGTGCTGATCAACACGGTTCCTGCAGTCAGTTGATGAAGTACTATGGCATATAAATACAGTTCTCCCAGTGTATCAATACAGTGTATTCAGGACTGTATTAATAATTTTGTAGAAGTAACTATAAATTTGTTACTGTTAGATTTTTGAAAAAAAAAAAATACACTAAAAAATTATCATTATTTTTTATTTATCATTAGTAATAGTAGCAACAAAGTAAAAAATTACAAACAAATGGTACACAAAACATTCAAATGCAAAATATAAATAGAAGTTTTGACCACATTAAAAGGAACATTAAAAATTTTTTATACAATGGTACTTTTCAAAACATGGTGTAAAGCATAGAGGCACATTTCAGGCTATGCAAGTATAGCATGTTTCTTTTCGAACCTTATGCTTTGCACATATACAACACAGTGTGTACTTGGTGGTTTAATTTCTTCGGTGGCCTGATACATTGTGGGAAAATGTCTCTTCATAAGGCATAATGGTGAATGAACATCTTCAGTTTGCGACTTGTTGAGGCACAAGGCTTGATTTTCTTATGTTCAGCAATAATTTCTTTAACAAGTAGTAATTGAAAATCCGCAAGTAGAATATTCTTTCCACTGGTAATATTATATAATATATGAGCATTTAACAAACTTAAGTCTAACAAATGAAAAATAAATTTATACCACTTTATTGACGTTCTGACAGATTCAGTGCTAATAAGAAGCATGTAGGTTTTATGTACAGTCCCCATATTATAATTATAATCCAGTACACATTGTAGTTTCTGGATAGAAACATTGGTCTTTAGTTTCTTTACCATTATCTTTGATGTTGCTGGAGTGAATATATGATACAAATGTTTCTGAATGGATACATAAACCTACGAAAAGCTGTCTTTAAATGGTCTATAACCATTCGCAGCTTAAAAAGGGAAGTTTTGTACAGAATAATGTACAAAACGATAATCGTAATAAAAATAGACTCTGTGCGCAAAGCAGAGGAGGGATGCAGAATTCATTTGTGACTTAAAAGAAGTAATCCCAATATTATCAAGTCTGCAGTTTCTGTCTTCTTTGAATATTCATAAAATATTAATATCGTAAAAGGTTTTTCAAATGGTCAAGTATTATAAATTATTTATATTACAGAAATAATACAAAAAATATGTTTTGACAACAATACATATTTCATTTCGGTTCAACTTGAATAATATTAAAATAAATTTCAGGTACCTACTAAATAAAAATCTTTTAACAATACCCTACAGTATGACAAGCTGTCTCGAACTGTCTTTACTATTAGCTAATTAATGCAGTAGGTAATAAAATTATTTCAATTTGAATATTTCTTACCTGTTAACCAAAATACGGCGAAAGGGAATTCTAAGATTTTACAAGTAAGTAAATCCCTGTAGTGCGTGCCTGTGTAAAAAGGTGCGGAATTTGTACGGCTCCCGCAGTGAATCATAAAACTTTTAAATGTATTGTAAATTTTGATATAACATGTTTAACTCTTTTCTATAGGCAACATACAATACGTAAGCAGTAATTGATTCATACGGTTTCCGCAGCGAATGCCGAAAAAGTTACGCGTATTTAGCCGGTTCCCGTTGTACGGACACGAAATAATTTTACGTGTATATCCGATTCCCTCAGTGAAAAGGTTAAAAAACTTAGTCCGGATAGTAACTTCTATATGGAAATGGTTTATGTCAGGCCTCTTTTGTAATCTCAGAATAATGACCAGGAAGAGAAATATCTCGATTTTTAAATTTTGGTTCAATCGCGCTAGGAACAGAATAACATCTCATCTGCCATTCCATCTTCCATCTTTCCTTGGTAAAGACTTTTTGCCCGATAGTAATATTCCATTCTTTACTGCAAAGTGTAGCAGTGCGTTAAATAAAACTGTATTTCAGTTTTAATAGTTACAGCCATCCATCCAAAGGATAACTGGTAACTGTTTTTCTTGCAAAGTTTTTTCCAAATTATGTATATTGCAAGAAGGAAATGAAGAGGATACCAATTCTGTGGCTGTTTCGTCGAACCAGTAATAAAGCACTTCATGAGTGTGTAGGTTATTTAATGGCTTAAAGATCTTGCATTAACACATGTGCTTCATCTTTTAAGGCTCTTTCCTTTTCTTGTCCTTTTTCAATTGGGGCTCTTTCTTTATTTTGTACTGATCTTTCCTCAAATTAAAAAGTGACAAATTTCTCTTTTTTAAAAGTAAATTTTATTTTTAATTTTAAATTTAGATTTTAGAGTAACTCTACTGACTTTTTTCAAATTTTCTTGTGGCGATCTTTCGAGATAAAGACTGTACAGTTGCGAAAGTGATGTTACGATAGGATCTAAGTACTTCCTTGTTGTTGTTTGTCTTAAATAATGGGACGGCATCTTTGGTAGATAATTGAAAAAACTTTTAACGAAATCTTTGTCATTTGTGTGCCACTTTGCAGCAGTCTCTGTAGGTTTTGAGTAAGTAACATTGGAAGCAGGAGTAACACCATTACTATTTTCTTTAAAGTCAAGCCACTTGTCTTCTAGTCCTACTAATAATTAGGAAATATTGTAACGATGAGTGGCGTCTAGAAATATAAACTTGGCTTCTTCGTCGTTTGATAGTGGGTTTTTCAAATGTATTCACAATAAATGTTTTTCGTTGGTCCCATGTCATGGTTTTTCAAAACGAACTAAAAAGTTCTTGCCTCTTCTGCTTGGTAATTTCATTACAGGCTGTAACCTTCGATTTTCGGCACATATCAGAAGAACAGGGTGATCCGATTTTTTGTTGACCTCTCTGAACATCTTTAATTATTCCCTCTCAGGTTCTTCGATACCCTAAATATGCTTCCCCTTGCATCCTCAAATTTTTGTTTTTAGGTTTTTTCCATTCCTTTCTGTTAACAAGTTTTCTTTTCTTTAGTGCATGTGCATTTCTATCAAAAAGAGTCCTTTCCGCATCTTTAGAAGATGAACTAACTGGTTCCATATTAGTACCATCCATTTCAAGGTCATTAGTTATATTTATAGGAGTCTCCTCTAATTCAATGTCTTCAAGTAAAATATCAGCTACAATTTCTTTGCCGGATATACTACAGTCCAAATGAACAGAAGATAAATTAGCTGGCTCATTTTCTTTTTCAAATATACTACAAACCAAAGGAACGGTTTTAAATTCAGCAAATGATGTTAATGCATTTTCGGTATGGATTTCTTTATTGTGTATGGTTAAAATTCCGTTGTCTAACGAAAAATCTGCATATTTTGAAGCTCCCGGAGGCAAGAACAGCAATTTAGGAGTTTTCTCTCTATGATCCTTAATATTGGAACTTTTACGTCCTTTCTTTATATTTGATTGATATTCGTCAAATGCAGTCATTCGTTCGGCATTCGAGAAAAGGCCATCGTAATCCTCTATTTTATCAGATTGCTGACTATCTTCTAGTTCCCAGTCCATATTATCTGAAATAAAAACAATAATAAAATATTTGTTTATTTTTAATTAACTCGCATAAAATAAGTTTATGCATTGTGATATATATATAATATATATATATATATATATATATATATATATATATATATATATATATATATATATATAATAATAATAATATAATAATAAACCAAGTTAGACTCTTTGGGTAAAAACAGCTGAAAGGATAGGATCAAAGATTCTAACTTGGTTTATTTTCTAACTTAATCAGCTCTGATTAACACAATATATATATATATATAATATATATATAATATATATATATATATATATAATATATATAATATATAATGAACCAGAAGTATTTGCTGACCACGTAAGGAAGTAAACTTTAAATATTGGGTATGCAGCAATAAATATGAAAGGTGTACTCTTTTAAATTTTTATTCCAAGCTTTCGGACATTGGTTATGTCCTTCATCAGGGAGCTACAAATGTGATGAATAATTTTTACAAATTTGTATAATTAATTAAAAATTCGATACCTCATTAAGTTTGTAAGTATCGAATTTTTAATTAATTATACAAATTTGTAAAAATTATTCATCACATTTGTAGCTGATGAAGGACATAACCAATGTCCGAAAGCTTGGAATAAAAATTTAAAAGAGTACACCTTTCATATTTATTGCTGCATACCCAATATTTAAAGTTTACTTATATATATATATATATATATATATATATATATAAATCTAAACATATATATATATAGTATACATCACCATCATTTAACCTTCACGTTGCAGTAATTTAGCATCACCAAGAAATACTATCATGGATAGTATCCTGGATATCTCCACTTCATGGTTTGTTCCAGTTTCACTTTTAAAAATACTATCATATTCAAATTATAAGTCATGTATATTCATTTAGTGTATCTTTTTAGGCTTGACACCGTTGTCAGTTTTTTAATATTTCAAGTTATTTATATATTTATTTTTTTACACTCAACAGACATTTTAACTCCCTATAGGTCAAATCATTGTGTCTTGCGTCAATACAGTATCACGAGATGTTGCCAAAATATATATATATATATATATATATATATATATATATATATATATATATATTTATTTGAAACAAAGATACATAAATATCGATCCGTTTTCGTAGAGTTCACAGACCCGAAATACAACCTTACCGACCGGTTTTTGGTTCTCGGATTTATTATTATGGTTTGGTTGCATATTTAATTTAGCAGGTAATTTTTCCCAGAGAATTGTGAAAAATTATGAATGAACGATCGAAACGAATTTTGCAGCTGGCAGCAACAGATAAGTAATACTTGTATTATTATGGTAAAATTGACAAATACGAGAAAAACGTTCGTCTCCAATAAAATATGTTTATGTACAGATGGTGCCGGTTAGTTTTTTAAAATTAGTATTAATTTTTGGTTAAATGTTGTTTGTTTATGTAGAATATAATTTTTTTTTGTTTCAAATTAAATTTAAAATGTATTGTGTATGTAAATATATTGTATGTGCTACCAGTGCACTGTTCATATTTATTTATTTTCTATTAAAATAATAAATAACTATGTAAATGTATCATTTTTTATTTACTATAATAAAATTTGTGGAAATGTTGCTTTAAAAGTTAAAAATACTTAAAGAAAAATAAAAAAAAATAATAATAATAAAAAACTTTTTACATTAGAATGAATAACTGATACTAATTTGCAGCACCTAGTTTTTCGTAAAACAATTTTTGGAAAATTTTAAGATAAATGGTGGACTACCAGTTTTTTAATAGGTAGATACTTGGAATTTGGTCCTTAAACACTCTCATTGACCGAAAGTTTAAAATCGCAAAGGGAAATCTTTTGATATCCACTGTTATATAAGAAATATGTTATATGTTCACATGAATAGTAGCTAAGCATTTGTTCACGTAAGTGTATACCACATTTATATTTATTATATTGATCAATTAACTTTCTTAAATACCAATCCTCTTCTTGATCTAGTTCTAACCCTCTGACAACGAAATTCTGAATATATCATGCATATATCTCGTTTATCTCTGCACTTGGTCACACATATTTCTTCAGGACTGTAAATACTGACCATTTCACGTTGTTTTTATTTTCTTTGACAAGTGAAGATTGTCTATTCAGTTATTTCTTAATATGGACTATAAGCAATTGTCTAGTCAAGTCAACACTATTATAGAAGTTATCAGTGGTCAATCTACGTTTATGTTCACATCTAGCTTTTTTAGATATCGAAGGCATATTATTTACATCCATTTTTTTACAAATATAATACAATTTACAAAAATAATTTTATAACTCAATTTTACAGAGGTAATTAACAATAAAAACGTACTAATAGAAACTATTAATTTACGATTTTCAATACTATAAGGGCACTTGAGGAACAATATGTTTTTACGTAATAATAGTTCCTGTATAAGTGAAATTGTATTTTAATGTGCTTTATTGAAGCACACTAGACATATTGCAGTTTTACCATCACATGCTCCACTTCTTCTTCTTCAAGTTCCACTCCTATCGGAGATTGGAAATAATTCTGGCAATTATAATTTTATTGTTTACTCGCCTGAATAGTTCAATTGAACTGCATCCAAACCATTCTCGGAGATTGCGTAGCCACGAGATTTTACGTCTTCCTAAGCTTCTTCTACCTTTGATTTTACCCTGCATTATATTCCTTAGTAGTTCGTACTTTTCACCTCTCATGATGTGCCCCAAGTATTCCAATTTCCTGATTTTTATGGAATTTAAAACTTCGCATTGTTTTCCTAGTTGTTCGAGAACTTGTTGGTTTGTTTTGCGATCCATCCATGATATTTTCAAAATACGTCGGTAACGCCACATTTCGAATGCTTCTAGGTTTTTAATGTTGGATTTTTTAAGTGTCCAAGCTTCAAGTCCATATAAAAGGGTAGAGAAAATATAACATCGAAGCATTCTTATCCAAAGCGATATATTGATATCGCGATTACAAAAAAGTTTTCTCATTCTATTAAAAGTTGACCGCGCAATTTCAATGCGGCATCTTATTTCTTTTGTATGATCAGTATCTTCTGTGATCCATGCTCCAAGGTATTTGTACGAAGATATTTGTTCAATTTCTGTATTATCTAGTACTAGCTTAACTTTGATGTTTTGTGCTTTTGTAAATACCATGAACTTGGTATTCTTCAAATTGATTTTTAGTCCATAATCGTTGCAATATATATTTAGTTGTTCAGCAAGGTGTTGCAGTTCTTCTAGTGTTCCTGCCAGAAGGACGGTGTCGTCAGCATATCTTATGTTATTAAGTGGCTCACCGTTTATTATAAGGCCCTCACTGAGCTCGGCAAGCGCTAATTCTGAGATGGCTTCACTGTATAAATTGAATAACAAGGGTGATAAAATACACCCTTGGCGGACCCCACGGCGAATCTGGATATACTTGGTCAGTTCGTTTTCAACTTTCACTTTTGCTCTTTGATACCAATAGAGGTTACAGATGATTCAAATGTCTCTACTGTCTATGTTTTTATTTAATAAAATTTCGTTAAGTCGATTATGCTGCACTCTGTCAAATGCCTTCTCAATATCAATGAAACAGGCATATACTTCCTGATTAATATCTAAGCATCTCTGCAAAAGAACACTTACTGCAAACAGTGCATCTCGTGTTCCCAGTACTTTCCTAAATCCCATTTGTGTATTACTTATGCCTTCATCTAATTTCTTATGTATTCTATTGTGAATTACTTTTAAAAACAATTTCAAGACATGACTCATTAAGGCTATGGTGCGATGTTCATTGCACTCCTTTGCATTGGCTTTTTTGGGAAGCAGTATGAATGTTGATTGGAGCGATTCTTTAGGTATTATACCTGTTCTATATATGGTATTGAATAGATCCAAAAGAAGATCAATAGATTCAGTATTCACAATTTTAAGTAATTCGATAGGAACTTCATCAGGCCCGGGAGATTGACCACCTTTAGCTTGTTCCATTGCATATTCAATTTCTTCTCGTATAATGTCAGGCCCAGTATCATCCTTAAATTCTTTTGGTGTTTCTGTTCTCTCTTTGTCTTCAAAAAGTTGTGCTATATATTGTGTCCATCTCTGCATTTTTGGATTATATCTGCTCTAAGTGCACCCCTTTCATCTCTTAGTTGCCTAGTTTGAAGTGTTTTTCTCATTCCTGTTAATTCTCTAATTCTTTTATGCATGTTAAAAAAGTCATATTTTTTCTCAATTTCTTCTAGTTCTTGGCACTGCTCATGTAACATTCTCTCCTTAGCTTCTTTTATTCTCTTTTTTATTAATCGATCAGTTTCATTATATTTAATTGGATTTTTTGTTTTGAATGATTTTCTTTCATTCATTAATAGTAGTATTTCTTCAGTCATCCAATCTTTATGTTTTTCTATTCTTTGGTTTTAAGTTTTCATTTGCTGTTTTAATTATTGCTACTTTTATATTTTCCCATTTCTGATCAATGTTATAGCTACTTTTATTCAGTTCTTGAGCATTACGTAGATTCTCAGTAAGAGTTTTTACAGTTTGTTTCACCGGGAGATTTCCATGTATACAATCTTCTTTTTTGTAGCTTAAAAAGTGTATTAGCTATTACAAATTCTTCCGTCTGGCAAAATTGTATCAAACGGTCACCACGTTCATTTCTCTTTCCTAGACCATATTCCCCCACCCCACATATCCATCTACTCTTCCCTGGCCAACTTTGGCATTGAAGTCGACCATTACTATTGTAGTGTGATGTTTCTTCATTGATTTTAAGACTTGTTCCAAATCATGGTAAAACAGTTCTATATCGTCGTCATTTTTATCTGCCGTAGGAGCATAAACTTGAATAAAATTTACTATACCTTTTTTAGACTGTAGTTGTATTGACAAGATCCTATCAGAATAAGGAGTAAAACTTACCACAGAGTAATTGACCTTTTTTGCAACTAAAATAGCAACACCATAG